TATATTATAATTTAATTTTGAAGTAATTTTGAAGAAAATAAACTAATTATTTGGAATATGGTTTTTATACACCTTACAAGTTTGTGAGAACTAGAAACTGCATCTAAAAACTGATACAAAATTATTAAAGTTTTTATTATTTAAAGGTTTGAATATATAGAATTCTGCTTATATGCATTGTTCTTGCAATTTATTAATATATTATTCAGATTTAACTACAATTATTCTAATATTTATGATAGTGAAATTATTCAATAATTTTTTTTTTTTGTATTGAATACTTTTGAAGTTTAAATCTATTTTTGATATTTGCTAATAAGATAATATAGGTTTTTTTTTAGTAATTTAAATTATCAATATTCATCACTTCTTATAAACAATAAATACTGCTAGAATAAAATAATGTGCTATCAAGTTCATTACATTAATCTTTTAATTCTCTATTGATATCATAAATTACATTAAGACCATATGACAATAAATTATCATAATATCTATTTTGTTAATAAAAAAAAAAAGTTCAAAAATAAAATTAGCAATATATAATGAAATAAATAATATGCCAAAAGCCTTATATATTTGAAAGACAAATTTTTTTGTAACAAACAAGAATAAAAATTTTGAATAGTTATCAAGTAAGATTCATTAACAGTATGTCATTAATGCTTTAGAATTCTTTTACTTATGTAACAAAAATATATAGAATTTTTACTAATGCCAAAGATTAAGGTTCATGTCATATAATTTACTATCTAGAATCTTGATTTCTTTAGTAAAAATCTCATATAGTGAAGTAATTTTACTTTCTTATTTTAATATGTATTTATTTGTTTTTTTTATATTAATAATTTATATTATTACACAAAAATGGATTCAGAGATTGGTAGATCAGGTTTTGCCATATTTTTAATTTATATGTTTATTTAAGTTATCTTGCATACTTATAATATTTGTTTCATAAATAGTAGTGCTAAAGAGAAATTTGAATCAATAAATCTTATTCTATTTGGAATCTTTATCTGAACTTAAAAATAATATATCAAAACAAAACAATAGTTCTTGCTTTTCAGCAAGATTATTTTACAATTTCAGAATTAGTATTGAAAGAATTGATCATGTGATACTGTTATTAGATTTTTGAATATATTAATTTTAATTTATCATTATTTTATTTTATAAATACCTAATTAAAATTAAAAAAAAAAGTGTTGGCCAATTATTTATTATCAAAAACCTGTTGATATAGGCTATTATAATAGAATATTTTAAACTGATGTTTGTTATCAAAATATATTCAGAATAAAAATAAAATATTTATCTATTTTCAAGAATATGAAATTTTTGCCTTAAAAATAACCTTATAGGACATAGTCCTATAATGTTATTTTTAAGACAAAGATCCTATATCTTAAGATAGGCTATGTTACTAGAACTAATATAGTAAATTGTTACTATACACAGAGACTCAGAGCTCAAAACATTACAAATAAGAAATATAAAGACTTGATTGTTGTAATTTCAGAAATAGAATATAGATTAGTTTTCTGTAGTTAAAGTTTTTTTAGTCTTTAACCTCATTGAATTTTATATTTGTTATTATACTTGTTACAGGATATACTGTATATGCAGTTTACTTTATATTAAGAAATATTTACTAAAAGATGAATTTAATTCATCTTGTCTTTGATTCAGATTAAACTACTTTATATTATGGAAATTATCAAGTATTGTGGCTAGTAGGTTCTTTTTTTTTTTTGCAATTTATATTGTATTAGAATTTTTCTTGATTTAAAATTTACTCAATTGTATTTAGACTGTATACTAAAATAATGAAAATATGTATCATTTCATCAACAATCATTTTGCTGAACATCTCATCACACAAAGCAATAGTTAATATTTAATGATTGTTTGATGATTAATAATTATTGTTCAATATTACTCATTATACTGTGTGATAAGATGTTTGGTGAAGTGATTGTCAATGAAATAATACATATCCAAATAATGAATGTATAAGTTTTATTTTATTATTTATATATAGTTTTTTTATTATACTAAAGTTAAAAATTTTTTTGCAATAAATAGTATTTGGATAAAATCTCTAAATTTTTACTATACAAATCTAAATCAGAACAACTATAATACAATTAATGCTTTAGATATTTCAATAGAATGTGTGACTTTAATCTTTTGTTCATAATGATAATTAAAAACTTTGCATACTCTAAAATAATAATATGAGAAATGACCAAAGCACTGATCATATACATTACAAATCATAGTTAAATTTACTAGAGTGAAAACTTAAACATTCACTTTCAAGTTTTTACTCTACAGAAATGGTTAGACAGTCAAATCTCTTTAAGTGCATATCGATTCTAAATGCATACTTGAATTCTGACCCAAATATTGACTTCTATAAATGCATTTTCTTTTATTATTTTCTAAATATATAGTGCTAAAAGGTAGTTCTAAAGAACATGCACTTAGAGAGGTCTGACTGTATTCAATCTAATACAACACAATTTAAAGTTATGACAGCCTAATTAAGAATATATATGCAATATTTTCTTGAATCTTAGGATTTTGGATTCTAAATTGAATAAAAAAAAATTTTAATAGAATTAACTACTCATATAATTTCTGCTAAACTGATTTAGTAGTAACACTACTAAAACAAATAATTTAAATATACATATGTATTGTTTTGAAAAATAAAAAAACCTTTTTGAATATAATACTTACCTCTTTTTTTATTTTAGTAATTTTGATATAAGAGATCTAACTACATTGTACAGATTAACAAGAGTTGTAAAAAAAATATTTGAGTACAAGTTTTCTCATTATAGTAAACTGTAAAGACTAATTAAATCCTGATATAGTAATTTCAATAAAGTGAATTTACTGACAAACTCTTGAGTATTTGATTGGTGTCAACTAGCTGATGCATATTGAATATTATGTAACCATAATTTTGAAGCACATCAAAACAATCAACAAAAAATCAAATCAGTGAATATATAATAATAAATAAAATATTAATAGATAAAATAGTAAAAAAAAGAAGTAATATAGAAATAGAGATAAAATTATAATTATATCACTACCCAGTTCAAATATATCACTTTATTAAAATAAAAAAATTATAGAAAGACTAACAAGACAATTTATCAAAGACATTTTAGATTTTAAAGTTGACTTAAAATGGAGATTTATATTAACTGTTTAAAAATTAGAACTAAATGAAGAAAAAGAAGAACTGACTAATTATTACTATAAAAGAAAATTAAAAGTCAAAGCAGAGTTAAATATATAAATATGAAAAAAAATAGAAAAATTGTAATACTAATCAAATGCATTAACAAAAAACTACCAGCACTAAAAACTTTAGCAAAGAGATATTCAGATTTATACAAAAAACTATACTGTATTCTTTGTAATAAAAACCAAAAAGAAAATTAAAAATACTTAACTACATGTAAAGATTATGAAAAAGGTTAGATTATTATAAAAAATTCAACTATCAATTTAGTCTAAACAGTGTTTTTAGAAGAAACCTGTAAGAAAATAAGCAAACTAAAACTAACAAAAATCTTATAAAAAAATACAATAGAAGAGAAAAAAGAATATAAATCCAAAAACATAAAAAGGTTAATCTAAGAAAAAACCAAAACAACAATATGAAACCTTATCCAAACTTTCAAAGAATCTAAAAAATTTATAACTATATAAATAAATACAATATGAAATAATTTTTTTGAAAATATATGGAAAAAATACTATAAAACAGTTACTGATTAAGAAAAGACAAAAAAAATTAATTCTACAAATAAAAGAAAGAAAACAGTTTAAGAAATAATACAGTTAGCAATCTGATAAAAGAAGTATATTAAAAAAGATCAAGACTGAACTATAAAAGAGAAGAAAAAAGAAAAAAAAAATACAAAATTCATAGTTAGATTCAGTTGTTGATTACATAGAAAGAAAAATAAGACCATTCTTTTATGACTCTAATGGCTAACTTGGTATAACCCTCTGGCCAGATTATTGAGCACTAAAAATTCATTTTTCACCAATTTAAACCTTGTGATAATAAATAATACGTTTATTGAGTTATTCGAAATAAATAAAATAATTAATTTATTACTTATCATTTAAATTTTTTGCTTGTATTTTTTTTGTTTAGATACATGAATTTTTAGTGCTCGATATATTTGTTACGTGACGTTCGAAACTTTTTTGGGTGGCGATTTTACCCCAGTCTTAGAAATTGGCCCATTAATGTTAATGCAGGCCGGATGATATTTAATTCAGGCCAGATGATATGCTAATGCAGACCAAATAATCTCATATCAAAAATTCCGTGCGGATCCCGCGCGTGGCCCATCTCTAATTGTGGGTCTTTTTTCTGGATTAACATCCCAACACTGTCGCATAAGTTCAGCATATCGTTCTGATGTTCCTTTTAAAATTTTGGGACGATACCATCACAAATTGCGAGCTGTAGACATATATCATGTTTTTGATCAAAAAAATCCGGTTACACGAAGAAAGCTCCCACATAATTATGCCTAATGCATAAATATCAGATTGTTTACTGTAAGGTTTACCACGAAGGAGTTCTGGAGCCATATATGGAATAACACCATATGCAATATCGCTATCAGTGGAGGTTATATGTGCAGCAGGTTGTGCCAAACCATAATCAGCAATTATGGCAGTGTTTGCGCTAGGTAAAAGAATATTTCACTATGCAAATCACAATGAATTACTCCAGCAATGTAGATGCTTTCAAGATCGTTTATAATTGATCTTAGAATATTAATCATTCCATGATTCCCGTGCTTATTAAGAAAATTTCGCAAGTCACCATGCTTATAGTATACCATAACGATGGCATATTCGTTATTGCAAGGATTTTGTGAGGCCATAAATTTTTACTCTACAAACTTGCAGAGTTAGATCGATCTTAATAAACAGAAAAGTAAGCGCAAGGTTTAAAATTTATTTAAGTTGTTATAATATGATCTTAGCTCTTTGAAAAGTTTTTCAATACCATCTGATGAATCGTACAAAGTTTTCAAACCAACAGTTTCATTTGGATTTCTGCATAGTTTGTGCCGAGAATGTTTATATGAATCGAATTCTTGCCGATATCTTGGTCCATCTATCCATGTCGCGGTGGAGATTGTTCCATACCCTCCTTTTGCAAGCAGTTTTATATATGTGAATCGTTTTGGTTCGGCCCATTCAAGAAAGTCATAATTATTTGCATGTCTATAACTAAGAATGAAATTGTCAATCAGATCATTTTACTAGATTTTAACATTTGAATTGGGTGTGCAATAGTGAAATACTTGAAGGTTGTCTTGGCTGGTAAACAATGAGGACAAACAGAAAGGAAAAAACATTCTGCAAGTGCACAACCAAAGTTCCGACTAAATTAGAAGACGCATATTGATTATGTAATCACAAGAAATTTTATTGGCTGCAAATATGCAGCCTGATGATCCTATCTTATTAGATTGTGATTGGCCAGTTAAAGTTATATATAAACTTTAAATATGTTAGCAATCGAATTTTTGCTGAGTTGGCTATAGTAAAAGATTTACCATCAAAGTTTGATGTGGTTAAAGTTTAACCATAGTTAAAATTTACCGTTGTTAAAGTGTACTGTGGTAGTCACACCGTGGTTAAGTCTTATCGTGATTAAATTTTGTTATGCTCAAGTCTTGTCGTGCTCAGGTCTCACCGTTTTCAAGCATACTATGAACAAGTTTCGTCATTGTGTGATCAAAGTTTTATCATAATTAAAGTTTCACTATAATCGAAGTTTCACCACTGTTCTCAAGTTTCATAAAGTCAAAAACCTATTATAATTAAATGTTTTTTGTAATATAAAATATCACTTATCATATTGTTTGTGCTATTATGTATTTAGCCAAGCCACTTACTTTTGTTTGAAGTAGTATAGCAGGTTGTGCTTAAATATTATTAGAATGGCTAGGTAATATTAAACTTAGTTGCTAAGTATATCTATATAATTGCAAAAATAATTTCAAGAATCTTAATAAAGTACTAGCATAATTGATTAAAATAAATTTTTTTTTCTCTTAAGCAGTCATGCTAGTATTTTATTAAGATCTTTGAAATTACTTTTGTAATTACATAAATATATTTAACAACTAAGTCTAGCATTACCTGGTCATTCTAATGGTATCTAAATGCAATTTGTTATATTACTTCAAGCAGAAGTAAGCTGTTTGTTTGATTATTTAAAGTTTGTAATCAAAGAGTTTTTTTTAATAACAAGTCTTAATATTATCTTTCTAGTTTCTTCTTCAATTCATTTTTTGCTTTCTTTTTTTTTCTTCTATCTTTTGTTGATTTGTTTTTTTTTTTGGTTGAAACTTTTTTTTATTTAAGTTTATTTTTAATTTTTTTGTTATTCTTACTTCTTTTTCTTATTTGTTAATATTTTTATATTATATCTTTTTTAAACCTGTTTGTTTTTGTTTTTTTAATATTAATAGTGAGGCCATGCCTTTAACTTTATTGAAATTCAATTGAAGTTTTTACAAAGAAAAGTTTGCTTTTAAATTACATATAAAGAATAAAGACTCAGATATATAATCTGTGATCTAAACCTTTTAAACCTGTTTGTAGAACATGTTTTAGGTTGTTCTTGTTACTATATTTGCAAATTATTGTCTTGATTTTGTACTCAAAAATTGTATTAAACTATTATGTATTTTTAAAAAATTAAGTCTTTAATTAGTGTTTTCTTTATTTCTATTTTTTTTAACTTTATTTTTCTGAAAAATATTGTATACAGTATATAAGATATAATTTAGGTTTTTTTTCAGTATTAAGATAACTTCTCTGGTTCTAACTTTTTATTAATACTTATATTAGGTATATGTTTTATATGAACATATTCATATTAAACTATTAAATAAGTATACAACTAGCTATATGTATAACTTTTCTATATTACCTATTTAAAAAGTTCACCCAAAGGTTCTTTACCAGTTATTATAACTAATACTTCTGCTTAGATGTTCTATTTAAACCCTCTGATCTGACTCTAGTATTAATTTTACTAAGTCACAGATTCAAATTTTTTCATTTTTAATCATAAAACTATAATTTTTAGACTATTTTTATCCTTAAGATAAACCTATCAAAGTAAGCTGTATTCTCTTTTTACTGCTAACCTGATTTAATACTATGGCCAAGACTAACACTTGCAATCAGAGTTATTCATTAAACTGTTATTACTCTTATAAAGTTCATTAAACCCTGGTATCTATCTTTTTAGACATTTTTTCTATCATTTTTTACTAACTACTACTCAGAACCAATAAGGTTTTCTAGACTACCAATCCAAATAGCTCAGTATAATATAATTATATATCTTTTTTTTTAATAATTCTGGCAATTTAGTTAATATATATGCTTTCCTTATATACCTATTATTTGGTTTATCTAACAATTTTTTTGAAGATGTTTTATAAACTTCTGATAGATTAACAGTACTATTAAAAGTTTGTGCTATCTTTTTACTTAAGATTTCCAAGTAGACTTCTATTTTTTTGGTTTCTTAGTTTTTTATGCTCAGTAGTCTTATCATAGGTTTGCACCAAAGCCTTATATGATACTGGTTTTTCACATTCCTCTATATATTTATAATATTACAATTGTATAGATGTTCTGAGCTTCCAAAATCAAGTAAGCCTTGACCTGATGTATCTAAGATTACAGATGCATAAATCCAACTAATCACAAAAGACAGTTACTATAACACAGATATAATTTCTAACATTTGTTGTCTATAAAAATTGAACCTTAGACCTGCTATTTAGAAGTTGACAACCTATTCACTTTACTAGGTTATAATATGCCTATAGGTTTTTTCTTTTATTTTTAGATCTTTATATTTTTATTATATTTATTTTCTAATTTTTTTTTACAATCTTGTTTGTCTTTTATATGTTATTAAATATGTTTGTGTTTCTTTAACTTTATTTTGACAAATTTAATATTTTACTATTTATTTTTTTTTTAAGATGACCTTTTTGATTTTTTGACTTTTATTAATAACTTTTTTAGTAATATGATTCTATGAACAATTGGTTATATATATAACTTTTTTATATTACTTATTTAAAAAATTTGCTTAAAGGTTTCTTACTAATTGTTGTATCTAATACTTCTGCTTGAGTGTTCTATTTTAAACTTTCTGAACTTGCAATCTATATTAACATTACTAGGTCATAGCTAGGCATTGTCTCAATTTTAGGTCTATTTTATCTTTAAGACAAACCTTTTGAAGCCTTCTATACCTATTTTTATAGCTAACTTATATTATTATAACAAAACCAACACTTATAGTTAGAGTTTTATCTTTAATTATTATATCTTTGTAGAGTTTATTCAAATTCTAGCATCTACTTCACAGTATATTCCTAGTATTTTAATATCTCTTTGTCTGTTTTCTAGATTTTTAATTTAGATAGCCTATATAGAACTATGATTAGTTTGTTAGTATATTAAGTCAGTCCAATATTTTTTTTTATCAGTTTATTCTAGCAGTCTGGTTGGTAATATTTCTAAAACTTCTAATCTAAAGGTTCTTGCTCATCTGAGTACTTCAACATTGGTATTTGTTTCTAGTAGTCTAGCCTTTACAGTAGTGCTATCAAAGATTTATATTATCTTTCTACTTAGATCTTCTCAAATGAACTTTTTTATACAGTTACAAAAACTTATACAGAGTTTGTATTACTTAATGCCAGTTTGTATTCCTTTGTATAACTAAATACACAAATGCTCTATGATCTGCCAGTTATGCTAATATAACTGCTTTTATAGATATCTTAATCTAATAGTTAAAAACAGTTTCTGTAATATAAGTATTACAAAGAAGATTATTTAAATTTTTATTATTAATAATATTAAATATCTAGTCTACTACTTGAAAAATTAATAATTTTTTTTTTTTTTGGTATTAAGGTAATCTTTTTGGTCTTTTGACTTTTATTAATCACTTATTAGTATTGTGATTCAATGAACTACTACAGGAGAGTGAACAATTGGCTATACATGTAACTTTTCTATATTATCTATTTAAGGAGTCCACCTGAAGGTTCCCTATCAATTGCTGTACCTAACATCTCTGCTTGAATGTTCCACTTTAAACCCTCTGAATCTGTAATCTGTGTTAACATTACTGGATCATACCCAAATGCTTAGATCATCATTTCAACCTTAGAATTAATTTATCTGTGAGGTAAACCCCTCAGTGTTCTGTACCCATTTTTATAGCTGATCTAGATATTGCTATGGCAGAATCAACACTTGTAGTTAGAGCTGACCATTAAACTACTATGCCCTTGTAGAGTTCACACAAACCTTAGCATCTACTTTATAACATATCCAAAATACTTTAGTATATCTCTGCCAGTTTACCAAACTCCCAATCCAGATAGTCTGATAGAACTTAAGACCAGTCTATTGATATATCAGGTTAGCCTGATATTCTTTTCTTCCAACTCGATCTAGCAGCCTGGTTGGTGGTATCCTTCATCCAGAGGTTTTTGCCTATTTGGCTACTTCAACCTTGATATCTGTTTCATAAAGCTAGCCTTTACAGTAAGGCTGTCAAAAATCTGGCTACCTCTCTATTTAGATCTTCCCAAATGGACTTCTTGTTATCTAATTTTAACAGATTTACACAGTCACAAGGTCTTATCTAGTGTTTGTACTGCCCAATTGCTAGTTTGCAATTTTTGTATAACCACAACCTTGTCCCAAAGGACAATGTAATGTGACCTGTTATACAAATGCCCCATGACCTACCAGTCATGCTAGTGCAACTGCCATTACAGATATCCTAACTCAATCATTAGTAACAGTTGCCATAATATGAATATTACATAGGTAATTATCTAAATTTTTGCTGTCAATAGGATTTGAACACCCAACCTACCACTTGAAGAATTGACAATCTGACCACTTCACTAGGTCACTACACCCTGAGATTAATAATTGATATTCTACTATTATATATATATTTAATCTTTTTTTATTAGATTTTTCTAAAGTCAAAAATCTATTTATAATATATCTTATAAAAATACTTATTTTTATATTATTTTTTTTTTATATAATATAATTTTTTTAGTTATTTTTAGTCTTTTTTAAAAATAAGTCTAATTGTAAATTATAACTTTTGTTTCTGCTTCTAGATTTTAGATTGTTCTTATTTTTCTTTATTTTATTTCTTTTTTATTAAAGCTTCTATTTTTAAATAATAAGTTTTATTTAAGTTTTTGTCAAATACAGATGCCTTCAAGGTTCTCTTTATATTAAAGGTTACAACTAGTTACATGTACACTTTTGGTATTAATTTAAGTAGTCCATCTAATATATTATT